CATCAGACATTCAGGCTAATGCTCCCTCAGTTTTACACTGCTAGCCCTTACTGTTTGTATGAACTCCATTGTATCAAACTTCTGCACGCTTACTGCAGTCGCGCTGCTTTTGCTTCTTGTGTATGGACACAACATTAGTTTTCTTCTGTCTGCCTGGAATTTTCTAGTGTTTAGGGTTATGTTCCAACTTTAAATACTCATCCTTAACAATGGTAATAGTCTTTCAAAAATCAAGAAACTGGAAAATATTTCATTGTATATGTATTAACAGCTGATATTAATGAATTTTAATATTCATATTATTATTCTTCCTTTATTAACTCTCCTGGTTTTTCTAACTCTTGTGCTGTGCTTACTGTAAGACAGCCAACATTGATATAGTTCCTTCAAATAATTTATACTGACCATTGTCTACTGTCTTTCTTGAAAGGCCTCAGGATGAAAATACAAATACTGACCTTAAGTACAGCAGATAGGAACACTTTCTGTTGACCTGTGGTGAAGCACAGCTGTGTATTATTAGTGAAAGGGGTATCTGTGTGCATGGTCCTGATGGTGGGTAAGCATAAGACTGCATGTAGAGTGTATGTAAAACCCACATGGTCTGCTCTTATCACACTTCTGATGTTTGGAAAAAAGTCAATCAAATCCTACTTTTCACTTAGTCCTATTACAATATCTGTTTATCCACTGTAGCACAGAACTGACCATGATAACAGTCTACTGGTTGGGACTGTCTCAAATGGTTGCATTTGCAACAGCCAATAAAAATAACGTAACTGAAAATGCAGTGTCATGTCTTGCATGTGTCTATTCTGCCTTTAAAAGTGAGAACTAAGTCATCTTTCCAAGTAATGGTAGGCTATGAAATTAAATGAGCTGAAAAATATTTTTAAGGAGAGAGATACAGCGTTATCTTGAAATGTAGAGGTGCAGGAAATGGCTAATCACAAACCTAAGCAAGTCTTGGCTTACATTAATTTCAGGTTCTGTGAAATTTAGATTTACGCAAAAATAATATGATTATACTGGTGTGCAGGTTCTTAAATACCCTGTCTTCCTACCATATATGCAAACATGCTATATTGCACTGACTCTTACCTTTTTACATCTGAGGAGACACAGGAGTTTTCACTAACCCACAGGTCAACAGAAATATTAAATTTACAAAGTCCATCTGCTAGCTTCAGTTTTCAATTTATTTTCTTTTTCCCTTGATTTTAACTTTCAAGATACTTTTAACTGTTGAAGAAAAACCAGTCACTTGAGGCAAGCAGGGGGCTACAGTTTACTTCGGTCAATCACCCAGTTTGAACTGGAAAACTAGGACTAGCATATGAGTATAAAATGTCATTTAAACTTTCTAAATACTAGACTGAAATGCAAAGAAAAACAGTACATAGGCTGCAGGGAACTGGTGTCACCAAGAAAAGTGCAAAGAGAACTCAGCTAATTAACAGTAACAATCATTAAAATGGCAACGTAACACTAAACTGGAGGTTCACTAAAATAATATGAGTAAAACTGGAATTTGTAAGTGGTAAGTAAACTGCTGGAGCTGTGGCTGGTGTAGCCTGGCTTTGGGTAAAACTCAAAGGAAATGGCTAATAATTAAATACAAGTACCACCAGACCCTTTCAACCTATTTACTCCTCTGTAATAATGGCTTTTCATTTAAAACTCATTTAACTTGAATGACCTCATCACACCTGCTGAAGTAATTCAAACGTTTTCAGCAGTAGTTAAAAGTAGCATAGGTAACCTGTTCAGAGATCTTCCTACTGGTGAGAAACTATTGGCAGCAGTTCAGCCTCTGCAGCGATTCACGCTTTTGAATTATTCTTGTCTGACTGGAGGGCACTCCATAGTCTTAGCAGGATGAAATTGGGAAGCATTTCAATTTCTCAGTCACTTTCCACTGTTGTAACTCCATGTAGAAACTAGTTTTTAGGAACATACTCACAGCGTCTAACAGAATTGGCTACGTTCCCTGATTAGATGAAGTCATTAAAACCAAAGTAAATGCTAGCTCAGGGCTTTAACCAATCTACGCTAAGTTTCTCTGAAGTACAATGCCTGCTGCTCAACCAGCCTCTCGCACAGCTTTTTCATTAACAAAATGTTTACTGCCCTTGCTTTCAGTGTACCTGCATGAAGTCTAGATGTATCTTCTGTTGTTCCTCTTTTGTTTTAAACTTAGAGCTAGGCAGTAGGAAGTTGTTTTCCATGGGATTATCTAGCAAAAGAGCTTAAAAAGAAATCTTAGGGAAAAGCATAAATTAGCTTTTGTAGAGAAGTAAAAATTGATAGACTGAGAAGGAAATGTACTACTCTTTAATGAATTTCAGATTATGTGAAATGTGCCATAACTTTATCAACATTAGGGAAATTATATGCAAAGATAAAAATTAAAACCTTCAATTAAAAAAGCCTGAAGTAAATTACCAACACTCTGGAACTACTTGTATTATAGTACCCTGCTGAACAGGAAAGACACATTAAAATCGGATGTAAAATTTGAGGATTTAATTCCAGTTTTATGTTGAATATCTCTGAAGGTTAAGGTATGTCCTTGTAGACATTAAGTTAATTGAAAGTGTGACTGCAGAAAAGCTGCAAAAATACAGTATATTAAGCAAGAGAACAAATAAAGGTTCATGCTGAGTTTAAAGACAGCCGTCCTCTATTTCCCATGTATAGTCACTGTTTTCCAGACATTTGCTTCAAAACATCACATCAGAAATATGATTACAATAAACTTCTAAATGTCCAACTTGCTTCTGGTACTTTATGTCTGCATGCCTGTTTTATGTTAAACCTCACTAAGGCCTTTTAAATTAAGAGCCTCTTTGGAAAGAACAGGAATAAATATGGATTTTAAAGTTAAGAAATAGCAGATACTCTGAATAATCCATCTCTGTAAGAAAAAGCTCCCAGTTAATAGATCCCAGTTCCTGAAATCCTTCAGGATTTCAGTGAAAACTCTAACTCAAAGGGTAGGCTATTTTCTGGCTGCATAAACTTAATGCATGTGGAACAGCTGAGCATTGGCACCCTGCAAGATCTGTGCTATTCCACATACACTAAAAACCCCATTCCAACTTACCATTATCCTTGCAACACACTTCTCAGCCTCTGACCTCAGGAATCGCTCACAACCACAGCAAATGGCCCCTTATGTAACTGAGGGGGAGAATACTGGCAGGACCACACTAATTTTTCCAGTGATGTTACTCATGGATCTCTTGGAGCAATCTCTCTTCCAGAAGAACTCTCTGGTGTGCTACAGACCTGCCCTAGCGAGCCTAAAGGAAGGCCACAGTCTGACTGGACACAAAAGAAAAAAAATTCACATCAAGAACAATCAGCCATTGGAATAATCTCCCAGGGAAGTGGTGGACTCCCCAACACTTTAAAGATTTGGCTGGACAGAGTGCTGGGACATCTAATTTAGGTTATGCTTTGCCTGGAAAGGTTGGACCAGATAATCCCTGAGGTCTCTTCCAACTTGGTAGTCTAAGATTATGTGAATAAATTAGTGATACAGCGGTCTAGGAGAGGGGCAGACTGGACACATCATCTTTAGCACCAGCAATCAGCTGGCAAACAGCACGGACCAGGTAAATGCGTGCCTGTTTCTTTCCTGTCAGAAGCAGACATTAGCACCAGTCCAAATTCTGCCCCAGAACTTGTGATGTAAAGTTACGCTTCTCTGAACTGTTTTTGTACTGTGGTCCCATTTTTAGCTCCTCCACTTTTTTTCTGTTTTGCTTAAAAAAACCCAAACCAAATAACTGTTACCTTTTCATCTGTTTAGCAAATGTGAATACAGATTCTTTTATCAAATTATTTTTTCTTAAATTGATTTCTTTTAAAGAATCCTGTTTAAAGTTCCTCAAAACCATTTTTCTGTTTCCTGCTATGACCAAAGTACAGTACAACTAACATTGTCCTGAAACACTTTTTGTAACTTGAGCTTATGCTTGTCACAAGAAGAAGCAACAGATTAATAGTCTGTTACTTTTCACTCTGCTCTGTGTTCCATTCCAATGGCTTCATTAGTAGGCAGCAACCACTGAAAACTAATCCTTAATTCAGTGATGTATGCTGCATGACTTTGTAACTGAAATTATCACATCAGGTGAACCTACTTTAAGCAATTTTTGGTCCTTGATATAAACCTCACATGCAAGAAACACAGTGCTGTCCTCAGAAATTAGAATTCAGGGGACAAGGAGGGTTTTAAACTGTCAAGTGTGTTAGAAAATGGGCCATGGCATTTAAGCATTTAACATGACCTTAACTGGTTTGAGCAGATTGTATTTCAGCTGCTGGGACATGCAAGAGCTTAATTCAGTAAAGTGGGTTTTGTTCTTGCAAAGCAGCATAATTAACGTCAAGATTTTACACAAGGATTAAGAACTACATTAAACACAGTTCAAGAAATGTCCCATTTTCTCTTCTAGAAAACAAGGAATTATCATTTAATTTATGATGAAGCAAGCAGAAAATTTACTGATTCACTTTGAAAAAGACCCAAATAATTTATATCCCCCAACAGTACAGCACTTCTAACTGGAACACAGCTCATTTTCAATAGAAAGGCACACACGCTAATTCAACCAGAAGCACACAAGACAGAATATCCTTCAGTGTGCAGTTAGGTGACACCAGGAACTTGCCATCTTTCATTCTGATGCTTTCTTAAAAACCTGTTTTTCTTATTGTTACAAACCTGAAGGCAGCTGTGTTGGAAAGTCTTAAACTTACCTAAGTTAAATAAATTTATCCAAGATAAATTTAAGCGACACAAGCACTGGAGAAAAGTAGGAGAAGTGGGTCTGCAGAACTAGTAAGTCACTGTATCAGTCTTACTTCAGCTGTAATTCCCCCTAAATGTAAGACTTTGCTCTGGTGATTTTGCTTGGGTTTTTTTAGTCCTTTTTTTGTTGGTTTTGTTGTTTGGTTTTTTTTTGTTAATCAAAACTTAACTGCTCAAGTTAGGCAAAAAGAAATTTATTGCCTGAAAGTCTCACAGTGGTTTGTATTTCAGAAGATGAGTAGATGCATGAGGAAAAACAAAGTTGTGAAGGAAAAGCAAAAGAAGTAATTTTGGTCTCAAAACAAATTACAGCACAAGCTAGCTGCCTTGCAATGTAAATGTGCCTTCTTCAGGACTCTCCAGTAAAGACTTCACAGGCAATCTGTAGGCCCAGCTTGTGCTTCTGTCACCATTCTTCTCTTGCAGCACCTAGATCAGTCTGCAGAATAACACAGGGTCTTCCAGCAGCAGCTAATTTCACAGACATGAGTATAATGTTACACTTTTAAATCAAATGCTGCAATTAATTTGTAGGATGTTAAACCCACAGCAGCAGAAGACATCACATTAAGTTATTTCTGAATAAAAACTCTGCCTTCAAAGCTTGATAGATAAAATGGTGATTTGGGAAGAGCTATTCTTTCCATGTCCTGTCACACTGAAGATTTTTAATGCAAGAAAAAACTTACATAATAGATACATGAACCTTCTTGCTTCTCCAGCCTCTTACTACAGGTCTTTTTTTACTTGCACAGTTAAATTGCATCAGGTTAATCAACAGCATGAAGCACAACCTGTGGCTTGACAGTGGTAAAAATCTGAGCTAGTAAAAATAGCTGGCTGATAAAATGTAAAGCAGGACAATATCTGTCTATTACAAGTCACATACAACAACTGTTCTAATAAAAGCTAGAGACAAAAGCTTGGTGGCTTTGGTTTTTATTTTTTCCTCTCTAGGACCTTCAAGTTCATACAAAATAAAACATCACTGTTCAGCTGACCACAGTATCTCATAGGGCTAAAACATTTTTTCCATGGTTTTAACACTTAGACAATTCAGAATTATATTCGCAGGTGACTATTTGTGCAACACCTTCATCTTACGCAGTTCTGGTCAATTGAACAATGTGTTCTTTGGTAAATGCTCATTTAACAAGCCTTACCTGTACCTAGTCTTTCACAGGATAATAAAAATACAAAAATCTGGTTCAATGTATTTTTAAAAATGAGAGTGCTTTAGTCTTCTTTAATTTCTAAAATACCTAGTGTGATTTTTCACTTATCCCCAGTCTTGTACCAGAGCTTTTCATTTATCCCCGATCTAAGAACTTTTTTTTTTGCCTTTTTTAAATTTTTTTTTTCTTTTTTGTATCACAGACTGCTGTGTTGGACTGAATCTGTCAAAGTTGCTAACAGGAAAGTTAGCAACAAAAATTGAAAATCAGACTGCATCTCAAACACTTGCAACATTTTCTTAGTACCATTACAGCAAGGAAGTATCCCTTAGTATGGTGTAATATTTGGCTGCAGCTATTTGAGCAATCTGAAGGAAGTGCTTACTTTTTAACTCTTCAGGGAAGCTTAAAAGTGGCTCAATTTATTTTTTAGTCCTCTTTAATTCACAGGAAGAAGCCATACATTTTTTAAGTGATTATTCAATTTCAGGTATCTTTTCTAAAGATACCTGTGGTGTATTTAATATACATCTTCCCTCATTCCTTCAAACACACTTAAGCTGTGAGGTAATTTAGGGCAATATATAAGAACACTTTTAAAAATAAAAGCAAGAGATCAGTAAAAAAAACCAACAAAACATTAGGCAGGATAAATAGAAAAATATTCAGTCTTCCTCTTACTACAAATAGTTTCAGCATAATGCACTTTAAAAAGCAAAGTAATCACATCGCTAAGTCCAAAACTAAGAGCACTTTTCAAGCAAGCCTGACTTAAGCAAGCATTTCACCTGAGTATACATTTCAGGAATATGGGCCATAGCAATAGAGAAGACAACGAAAGCGTCCAGGGGCAGATTGTTCCATGTCATTCTACCCCTTACTTAGAGGGGTACAGGAAGGAATTGGGGCGGATTTACCAAAACAAAACAAAAACAACAAAAAAAGACCCCCAAACAAAACAAACAAACAAACAAAAAAAAATCAAACCTTGTCCTGGCTCCATGTGGGCAAAAGATGTCACTTTCTATAGCAGCGAGATGCCTGTCAACCAGTCATTCATGCCAGGCATGAATGCCACCTCAACCAGGTATTCAGGCCTATCAATTAGTACTGACTCTGTCAGTAATTATCTGCACAAAGGAACTGGTATCCAGGGAGATTTTGAGAAACATTAGCAACAGTGTCCTGCTATCCCAAAGAGACCTTTCAGTCTAAGGAGCGTACTTCAGGGACACAAGGCACTTGCTGGAAAGGCCTGAGATGAAACCTGTGAATTTAGAGGATGGTCCTCTGCCCATTCAACAATAAGGGTATGCCACACTTCCTCTGTAAGACAATTCCAAAGGCACTATGATTTAAAATGTGGCATCTTCTTGCACACATGAAGATTATTCCTTTGGAGAGCATGATTCCACCCTCTCATTTATATGCTATATTGGAAGACTGCAATACTCTAAGTTAGATATTTTTACAGTTGTAAAGATATGTTTTGGGAATGACATAGGCAATACAAGATATAGTTCTTTAGGCTGAAAGCTAATCGGAGTCTTCATCATCAAGGTATTCCTCCGCATTACTTAATGTTCGGACTGTACCTGGAAAGAAACAAAGTTCTCTCAGTACAGGATAAAATCATAAAAAGCTTCACATTTGCAATGCTTGCAAACCAGCACCTGAGAAAGCTGATTCCTCTATCATTTAGAATTGTTAGGGCTACACAGATGGGGCTGTATATCTGGATCTCAAAAGCAGGGCTAAGCCAATAATCACATCTATTTGTGACCTTCAAGAGCCATCTTCTGGCTCCTTGGAACCAGAGCTGGAACTCTTACATTCTATTTTCTGTACACGTTACCACTACATCACAAAGGAAAAGATTGGTGAGTTGGTGGAAGAATCCCTATGGTTTTATTCTGAGTGCTTAGCTGGTTGCCATTCTCTATTTAAAATAAAACACATTTCACTTGTTCTTTCTCCTGCTTTTTTTCTCACAAACATTTTTTCCCAAATAAATATTTCTTAGATCTACTTACGAGCTTTTGAAGGATATTAAGGAGAAAACAGGAGTGTTAATGTATATTCACCAGACGTGTGCACTGCCTGGAGAACTACATCAACCGTCAGGACTGTACAAAGATAAACAGTACGGGCTTTTTGTGACAGATAATTATTTGCCTACAGATTTTGAAATGTATGGGAACAGGAATATGGGTTATATATAACATGTATTATCTTATACTACTGAGAGCCAGGAACAACAATATTCTACTCAGTCACAGCTTTGCAATAACATATTACAATAAAGTATTAAAAATATCAGCTGCACACATAACAAGACTGACATAATTCACAGAAGTGATAATCATGTTATCCTAGGCTTCTGGAAGAGGAAAAAGAAGTAAATTTAAAACTGACCTGCTCAACTGCTTTGATAAAAGAAGCTTAAGAGAGTAATTTTTTTGTTTGTTTGTTTTTGAATGGGAGAAGCAGCAAAAAAAGGGAGGAAAGAGAAGAAACAAATTGTAGAGTGCTGTGCTAAAGGGCCATACTTCAAGAAAGGAGAAATCCCATTCTTCTGTGTAACAACTGTTCCCCCCATTCAGAAGCACAATCCTTTTGCATTCTGTGACAGGATTTTAACAACTTTTAATTCTTAGAATATACTTCTGCAAACATGACACTTGAATGTGTGTGTATACAAACAAACCATAAAACTTGAAATTTAAATGGAGACAAAGTAAACTTCCTTGGGTAAAACAAAATGTTTCACAGAATGACTATGATTGAAGCCATATCTAAACAGGAACAGATTTGAAACTGGGCACAGGAAGACTACTGATATAGGAACTAAATTTCTGGAAAACAGCAATTGTTTCACTCACAGATACTGGAAATACTGAAATACAGAATCAACACATACAGAAGAATGAAGTGAATAACTGAGAAAATGTAAAATACAAGAAAAAGATACAGACCAGTGGTGTCTCAGAGATTATAAAAGGCCAAATTAAGACAGAAAAACAAACAAGAAAGATAATACTAAAACTGCAGTTAGACTGAGAACATGGAACTCTTACCGAGGCATACAAGAAAAGATAGCATGTGAGAGTACCAGAGACTGGTAACAGATGAAGTTCCGGTTGGATATAAGGAAGAAGTTATTTACTGTGAGAGTGGCGAAGAGCTTGCCCAAAGAAATTGTAAATGCTTCATTCCTGGCAATGTTCAAGCCAGGCTGGACAAAGCCTTGAGCAAGATGGCCTAGTGTGCGGCATGCCTGCCCGTGGCAGGGGGCTGAAACTATATGATCTTAAGGTCCCTTTGAACTCTAACCATTCTATGAAGTAAGTAAGAATGATAAATCAGTCAGCCATGAAACAAAATTAATTTAGAGGGAGACAAGCAAATACACCAGAAGCTACCTAGCAGCAAAAAATTAAACATTAATAAAATTATTCTGGACATGAGAATACTCCTGTAGCAGGTGCCTACAGTTGACAAAGATGAAAAGTGCTTCAAAAGAATATTAACTAATATTAGAAAAAGAATATGTAAACAGAAGAAACTCTGCTCTTTGTTATCACTGTTTTCTTGAGTCAAAACTGAAGGAAATTTGTCAGGGTTTTCCGGGAAATCCAAATATTACCTCTGTCAAAAAAGCTGGATAGCATTTTTGCTGCAACTGCTCTTCTTGGCCTTCTAAAGCTGTGGTCATCTATTCTTATCATTTAATTCCCACCGCTAACCACCCACAAGTTAGCATCCCATCTGTTCTCCCTAACCCAGTGACAATACAGTTGCTAGACTGCATACCTCACTTACACAAGCTGTAACTCTGCCTGTGTTTTTAAGTAATTTCTCATTTCATGTGTAATTCACCTGCAGTTCCCACCCTAACTTCAGCCTCCTGAAAGCTACAGGTAACATTAATTATGCAGTACTGAACAATGCAGTCGTTGTTCAGGTTTTTAAAACAGACTCTTATCTTTTGGACACAGACACTGCGCTATTAGGAGAAATAAACTCAAGTGGGAGGAAGTGAGACTATTTTGATAAATACCTGAAAGCATTCTTCCTTTATTTCTCTACTAGGGAGTCACTTAGAAAGACACAAGAATGAGAAACTAAAAAAAAAATATGTATCAATAAGGAAATAAAAGAGGAGCATCCATTGGTCTTTGTTTGGCTTAGTCTGGAGGAATGGACAGGCGTAAGGGGGAACATACCACATTGTTTTGGTCTCATACCTTGTCCCTTGTGGTATGCTGCTTTTAAGGTAGTTTCCATCCTTACTTGCTTTCTGTCTCTTCACTCTGAAGAGTCTGTCTTCCATTTCCTCCCCTTCTATTATGGCTTCCACATCTTTGGAGCTCTTTTGCCTCTTGCTGACACAAGATGGCGTTTTGTATGGAGTCAGCCACACTGAATGTGGTAAACCACAGGTCTCTAGCATAGCTCCACTGAACTGGCACTCTCAAAGAGAACCCTTTCAAACACAACTTTCAGCCCATGTAGCTCCCAAGTGCATTTTACAGCTATCAGCATACCGATATTTGGTCAAAATACCAAGTGTCCCCTAAAAAGGAAAAGAATGTAACAGAATAACAAAACCTGAAATACCTGCACTCTGTTTCTTCTTAAGAAGGGAAGCACAAGTTGCATTGGTTGCCATGTCTAATGCCAGTTTCCTCTCATTGTTCTTCAGATCTGTTCTTGCCCCTTTAGAGTAGAAAGTTTTCATCATGAATAACTATCCCAGATATTTTTTTGGGCAATGGCATTACAGTATGTGTTTCAATAGCAAGGGTTGAACAGTAATGGACATGGGAATCTCATCTGTGTACTGCTCTAAAGTAAAATAAAAACTATGGATGCTCTTCCATAAGCTACAGTTGGCTAGGGAACTCGCTGGCTGCTTTCCCCTTCCAGGAAGCAGATGTCATTGCTGTTCTAGGGTTAAGTGCCTAACTTTATCTGCAAAGCAGGATGAGATTTATCTTGAGCAGGTGAGATGTCTATTCTCCAAACAGCTGCCACAATTTTCTGCAAGGATTACGAAGTCAGACAGGTAAGCTGGCTAGGGACCGTAGCTGGGTTACAGAAAAACACTTAAATACAGATTAATAAACATTCAGCAGTCTAGTCTGCCACACAGATTGTTGAAACCTTGGTGAAGATCTTTACCCTTTGCCAGCAGCATCTCTACAATATCTGCATAACCTTTCCATGCAGCAGCATGCAAAGCTGTGTCTCCCAATTTGTTCTGTGGAGTTAGAGGGAAAAGCAACAGGATTAAAATACAGAAAAAAAACCTTTCAGCTTGTATCAAGCATGACTAACATCACACTTCTACTGCAAGGGTCAGCTGGTTTAACCCACCTGTTGATTTAACTCCAGGTTTGCCTGGGTAAACAGAACATCCACTATATCTGCATAAAACAGGGTGGGAGGGGTGAACAAAAAAATTCAGCAGAAATAAAACAGACTTTTTTGCATTCACAGTCTAAATTCTGATTAAGATTCAAAGAAAGAGTGATCAAAACAGCTAATGAAAATCTGTAGGAGTCAGACTGCATTAAGCAAGCTTTAACCTTTCTTAGAATAAAAATTAGAATGACATTTAAAAAATCTTGGCTTTATTATTTAGCACTGCACTTTTAGCAAACAGACTAACAGGCAAATGAAGAAAACCAGGGAACATTTCAAAAAAATTCTCCAATACCTTTGTGGCCTCCATGGCATGCCCAGTACAGAGCTGTATTTCCAGCTTTGTCTAAGCCATTGACCCCAACTCGATTATCCAAACACTCTCTCAACCAGCTTAAGTTGCCTGAAAGACAAATTCAGTTTTGATGATTTTTTTTCCTCTTTGAAAAGTTAAGAGAACCATTAAAGGCACCCAGTTATTTCTGAAGGGTGTCAGTCCTTCTATGAACTTGTGAGGAAAAAAAGTGATTAGCAGCAACACTTATAATTCAAAAAACAATCAGTCCAAGTCACATCAAACCTTTCCTTCTGCTCCCAGACGACTATTAGATCCCTACATAGTTAAATAGATGGTACTAAACTCTTTCAGTGTGTATAAATCACAAAGTGGCAATTCTACCAGGCTGTGAATGAGTTCAGCTTCTAAAAGCTGCAAAACTGAATAGATAACTTGTTCAAAATACCACACAACCAGACAGGATAAATTAATTTTAAGTATATTATTATTTTGGTAGAAACAAACAAATCACCCTATAGCATTACGCAAATTACGCTTACCACGTTTGGCAGCTTCATGCAGTGGGTTATCAATAGACTCTGCTTGCTCTGCCACTGAAATGAGAAAAAAGAGAAATTTAACTACTTCTGAAACTGAACAGATATTGGGCACCTGTATGGAAATAAAACTTTTGATTTATTCCAGAAGATGTCTCCTACTGAAGAAGGGACAACATGAAGCAGCCACAATTACTAATGTATTAGCAGTTTGCAATCTATCGTGTAAAACTGCTACCCTGCCTACGTTTCCTAGGAGGACTTGGAAGAATTGTGCTGTGTGGTCTGTTCATAGGGCTTTTCAAAGTGGTTTTAGTTGAATCTGAAAAAGCATTTCTGTTCAGTTCAAACAGGTATGGAATATTTATTGTGTTGCAATGCCCAAGAAAATAATGTTTTCTGTGGCTGAATATAATCATTAAAAAGTAAAAAAAGCAAGCAGTCCCATTTCTGAAGGTGGGGAGAGGACGGATCAAAGAAGGTCTAGAGAACTACTCACAATCTGATTTAGCTTCCTGTCCATATGCAGTCCAGTTCATATCCATTAGTTAACAATCCAGTATTGATTATCTACCTCTGTAAGAGGCCACCTGACACTGTATTGGGCTTCCTGACCTCAAAGCTATTAAAGGATTGCCATTATCCATCCCTAGGTCTACTTAAAACAAATGCAATGTACAGACTGAAGGAATACAGCCAAGATACTGCTAATAAGAAGATCTTAAAAAATTTCAATACATTGATTTAGAATACCAAGAATAGAAGCCTCAGTTTCATGTGCCGTCTATAAAACCATCCTTTAGATCCAAGTGCTCTTCCCTTCAAAAATGAGAGCATCTGTTGTTGTTACCTGCACAAGCAAAAACATGAATACTTGAAACATTCAAGCTTTCTGCAGGCAATAAAAATACAAGACAGCTTGTCCAGGACTGATATACCGTGGGGACCTATACTGCAGATGTATTCTGAAATACCCTCGTAGAGGACTCTTAAATTCCAATACTGTGATCAATTTTTGAAAATCAGTGTATCGGTCATTTTTATTTGTGATTTCCTTTCATTGTGAATGACCTTGCAAATGGAAATACAGACATTACCATAGTTGCTTGGAATTAGTCCAGTTCTCCCTTTGCAAGTTCCTTTCCACCAGTTTGTATCACTCTGCAGAGAATAAGGAAAATATTTTAGAAGGGATACGCTGCATCTCAGAAGTATTCAGTCTTACTGGACGTCTGAGACTCACCATGTCTGAGATGTAGATAATATCTCCTTCTTCAAAGTACAGTTCATCTGGCTTAGAAAGAAAAAAAGGAAACAAAAACTTGAATGTGCGTACTTAGGTAAAACAAATACCTTGATAAAGCAGAGTACACTCAGCTCTCCTTTCAAAAGAACAAAAACTCAAGTTCTCCAGCAATTAGTCAGTCCTGATAGTCTTTCATATTGTAGTTTGAATTGCCTACAGCTCACTTTTCAGATCTGTGACCTTCCTAATAACTAAAGGAAAAGATTGTGGTCTTTCCAACAGAGCACTGTGCAAGAAAATCAGTGAAATACATCTTGTGTTTGTTAACTTCATACCCTTTCTAGCTGTGCTCAGTTCACAAAATCTTTTCGTTCTCAAATTATCTTTGTTGTCTTTGGAAGAAAAGCAAAAAATCATGTATATTGCTGATCTTAGATTACAGGTAACTTATACTAGAGAAGAAAGCATGCTGCTTTTAAAAAGAGCTGTACTTAAAAAAGGAGAGTGATGATTAATCAGCCAGATTTATTCACATAATATTCACATAATATTCACACCAGCAAAAAGGTTTTTTCATTGAAAACATAATACAGCAAATCTAATAACCCATATCTAATAAAACCCTAGCAGAACTGAAAAAAAATATTGTTACAGACAAGATTAAAATTACGCTTCTCAAAACAGTTAAATCTAGATGCACTTACCGTTCTGGGCTCAAATGTATACAGGGCCCTGAAGACTTTAACCTGCCCTAAAAAGGAAACAAACAAAATCAATATCAGTATCATACCTTCTAAACATAGCATACACATACAGCCCTCAAATCCAAGTAAATTCCTTAAAGCTGCCTGCTGAACAAATTTGTGTAATGCCTCTGAAAATTATTATCATGATGAAAAGACTCACCCCAGCAGCACAGGTTCTAAAAGAAATGGGCCGACTGATCAGCTAAACATAAGCTGCTTCTTGTCAAGGAACAAGGACTTCACACTCACTATGCAGGTCAACTGAAGCGTTACAATCAATTTCTGAGGCAAAGTGTAGTTTTAGTCACATTCACACACCCACACTCATATATGTTGCATAGATTTCTATTAATAATTTCAGATTTGTCAAGTGATGCAGAATTAAGAATAAAGAAATATAACAATGACCAATGTCTGCAACATATTGTCACACTTGTAATCGTTACAGATCAGGAAAATAATGCAGTAGCACAGAAATCACTGCGTTTAAGAAAAATTATGAATGCCAACATCAAGGCATAACTACTATGCAAAACATTTCTGTAGTTTTGTGTCTCATTCTTTTTGGGGGCTAAGTGTACGTAAAACTATAACCATAAAATGAATCCGTGTAAATATTTTAGATTGCCAAATGTGTATGATTTTGCTTAAGATCTGTAACTCTATCCCATCGTCTTGCCAGAGCTTATTTTTTAATAACACCATGAAATTTCAGTTTGGTTTTACTAGTCTCTCTCTCTGCAGCCATTTCCTAGACATAAAAGGTCCAACACTCTCAGACTCTGCCTCAGAAACTAAACACCTGTACTGTGGCAACAGCCAAAAAAAGGATGAAACTTCTGATCTGTCTGTTATCCATACAGAAATGATGAACCAAGGACATACCTCTTAGATCTAAGAGCTTCACAATGAAATGTGTGAACTGAAGCTGGGAAGAAGTAAAAACAAAGAAACAGACAAGGGAAAGACATGACAAAACAGGATGGGTGATGCAAGAGCACTATCCCTTCTCCTTGGCTTTCTTACATGGGTGACAGATAAACACAAGATAGAACTGCACTCTGACAACTCTGGCGACTTTAACCATCACAAACCAATTTTCAAGGTTTTATGTACGTAAAAGGAGGAAATGGACAACAAGAGGGAAGAGTAAGATACATTAAAAGGGGAAATGAGAAGATGGCAGAAGACAGGGAAAAGCAACAAATACAGATTTGTGTACGTCATAGTGTTTCCTGTAATAATGTACTGCATCTGTGTCAACAGGTTTTCTAAAGCTATCACACCCTGAGGAAAAAAAGAATGGAAACACTGACACTGATGAAAGTATTGCTGACGTGTTGTTTAAACAAAAGGCAATTGGGGAGGGGGGGAGGGGGATGGTGTTTGGTGGTGGTTTTTTGTTGGTTTTTTTTTTAATTCTCCACAACTGAAACAGAGAGTTACTTCCCAAAATGTCAAGCTGTGGTGTCACACACAGCACAACTCATTCTAAAACATTTTCCTGTCATGAAATGCAAAGGTTTTAATCTACAGAACTGCAGGTCTAATTAACTGTAATTTTACGGCACCTTACATGGGAGTAAAACAGTACCCACACTACTGGAACCAATCTTTTAAATATTTCTTCATAAACAGATATTAAACCTGGCTATGTTGCTGCATTTAAGAGCTAATAACAACAGGACGCTGGCATGGCAGTTATTTGTGCCAAATTCTAATAAAATAAAAAAATAAACAGCCTAGAAAATTTAAAATAACAAAATGCAAGGATGCAAAGGGTACATTAAACTTGAGTCCCAGGCCTGAAAATGCTGTTAAATTGTATTTTACTAGGCATATGAGTACCTGTAATCACTTGAAGTACTTTTATCTACTAATGCCCATCCCTCAGCACGCAGACAGACTTGGAGCTTGTACTGGCAGGTGTCCTTTGGAATAAGCAAAAAGTCTGACATCACCTGGTGACTTCCTGTGCTCACCCTTACAGCTTTGCTATGAACTACATCGTAGGATTCATGTAGAATAGAGAAATAATACATTAGCACTGACTGGAACTTATCAAAGTTGACTAACTGCAACTCCCCCCAAGTACTTCTAAAGGAAAAATAAAGTAGAACACAAAAGATACAAGTACCTTTTTAAGAGTTCAAGGCACCAGGCAAACATTAAATGACCTAATTCTCAGCATGAGTAAAGAGGGGATTATTCCTTTTAAAAACAAAGCAAATAAGGAACAGTGTTCCACATTAAAGCTTTTCCTAAGCACAAGGACAAATTTAAATGTTTTTTCTTTTCAATCACATACTTTAGCCACAATGCTATATTTTCCCTTCTCAGAGAATCTGCATTAAAAATCTGCAAAACAACTGACAAATAAAAAAAACTAACTTGTTACACATACCAATCAGATACAAATATTCTTAGCATACAAACTCCCCCAGACACAATTTGACAAACCCTCCCTCAGCAATACAATGAGGTAAAGGAGTCAAACCAATGGTTCTCTGTAACCAGCAACGAAAACCTAATGTTTTATCAGGTTGGGCTGACCTTATGCCCTTCGAATTATTTTGGATAACTTCTGCTATACACTTCTGCTTTTGTGAGGAAAGGAAACTGGCAACTCAGATTTCTGACATGACCTCTCAGCTAAGTGCATAAAAGTAAAGAAACTGAGCTGATAAACAGTAACAATAATTTATATACGCAACTTCTCAACTGAAACAAGATCATTGCTGTGCTCATAATACAAAGTAATAAAATGACCATTTTCTGAAAATACTAGAAGCTTTAGAAAGGGGTAGGGGAGAAGAAAAACAGATCCATCTCTGGACAGCATTACATTTAAGCGAAGGTGAACTCCCAGCACCAAACAGCAGGGAAGATAATTTCATTACCCATCAATTTCTATCACTTCTTCAACCAAAAAAAAATAAACAGTACTTGGTACAAGAACCATTTACTTTAGTTAAGAAAGTAAGCATGTCAGTAAGCCAATACTGACAGGTGCTATCAAAGCTTGGACCCAGTGGACCAACAGCAGTCTTGGTTAGTATTTCATATCCTGCTTCCCCTACAGACAAAATGAAATCTCACTGATGCAAACAGGCTTCTACAAATCAGATACTGATCATGATGCAGCATCTTCCATAGCTGTATTTAGAGTAAGCAGGTCTAGACTACTATGAAAATCAGAATAATTAACTTACTTTACAAAAGCAGATTGGGTATCACTAAGCACTATCAGTGCCTGTAATACAGAGACAGGGATAACCTCTATGCTCTAGAAAAATCAGAAGTGGCCATGGTCACCCATTGATAAATTGGGAAACCTCAAGTCTGTCAACTCGTATAAAGGTCCAAGCTAATTCGGTGCTGTCATCAGCTATCTTCCTCCTTGCTCCCGTAAGACTGCACAGAAGCAGTAGGGAATCTGGTCCTCTCTCTAGCACCAACCTGATTGAAAACAACTAATTTGAATCTGCACATGTAACAGACCAAAAAGTTAAAATATTTAAGATTTAGAATATGGGGTAGAAAAAGAACAGTTTAGATTTCCAGGGTCTCTGCTGCTTTTAGAGGCTTCTCCCAGAACCTGTGTAACTGGGAGTATGAATTCTTATACAGGTTCAGATGAATTTCTCTGAAGGAAGTGAGAGGCATCTTCTGCCTGACCTCACAGAAAGTGTGGTGGCAAAAGGACAGCATGCTGGTTTTCTCAATGCTGGCCTAAGCATCTGCAAAAGAAGTATACAACCTGGCAGTGTACACCAACATTTTGAAGATACAATCTTTTTGTCAAGTCACACTATCAGAGGTAAGCTGCAGATCAGAATAACTTCTGATATGCTGGCATAGTTTGCTTTAGCATCATGTTATGATCTGCACATCTCTTAGGAGACATGCAATTTTATTAGAACGACATTATAGCCAGACTGATTTTTTTTTTCTTCTGAGGAACTTGAAAATAAGGTGCTTCACATCCAGACTTTCAAGCAGAAATAAAACTAGCAGAAATATGTTTTACAAGGACGCAGCTTGTAGCTTTGCTTTTTGTAAAGACAGAGTACAATCAGCATTCTAGGACTGTACCAACTGAGAAAAAAGTGGAGTTCCCACTATTTAGTGAACCATCTACTTCTAAGTAGTGCTTGTTAGAAAAGGGGAAGTGAACAGTGAACACAGGGCATACAAATTAGAGGGAAGGAAGGGGGGGATGGTGTATTAAACAAACAAAAAAAGGTAGGAATCTGTTTAGGGACATGGTGAAAAGAATGCAAAGGGTAGACTGGTGCCAGTGTAGATGATAAACTGGGGTAGCCCAGGAACAATTATGACTGCATCATTCAGTATCTGGAGTGGAAGAAGCAAATAGCATTTGTTTACAGAAAATCAGAACGAAGGTCAACAGACCTACTTAAAGGGAGTAACCCTTTACACTACCTATGTTATATTTCCTCCTGCCTCCCTTCCTCTCAACTGGCATTAATTCAAAACTGATTACCTCAAAGACTGGTCTTTCTCCATAAAATGTAAATGTTGTGTGGACTCTAGGCCATGATCAACAAACCTTACTCTATCTGGATGATACAAAATTAAGTAAGGTTTCTTTAAAACATTAATATACCACTTTCATCTCCCCCAAAGCAGTTGCTGCCCACTGTGTAAAACTAATGAAAAATATGAGACAGAAAACATTGTTCAAGGAGACGAACAGCAGAAGCCAATATAGCTTGTCAAGTTCAAAGTAAGTAACTTTTGTAAACAGGATTAGCATCTAACACACAATGTTTAAGTCAATGAACTCTTCAGAGAAAGAACAATGCAGTCTGAGACACCAAGAGAATTCTTGAAAGACAGAGGGGCAACCCTCCTGTTGCATAACGCTGACAGAGAAGAAAGTCTTTGTTATTTTCAACTCCCACTCCACTCTTTTGTATGTTCAGTAGCAAGTCTAAATAGAAAATACAGCTAGAAAAGTAACAATGCAAAGGCCTAGTAGAAAAGCAAAGCTAGGCACTTTTTTTTTTAACAAGTCTCAAAAAAATAAAAATACTAGAAATTAAAAGCTTTTTAAAGCCTCTAAAAGTAATCATGATCCATTAATCAAGGGCTAACCACAGACCCCAAAATACTAGCTCACATGTTGACAAACATGTCAGATGGTTGTCCAAAACATATTGATGTCAAAACCACTCTCTGTAACTGAAATCCTAATGTGCTGTGCATGCCACAGGATTAATAGAGGAGCCTTCTGTCAGATCAAATGCTCTCATGTACTGATGAAAACCACACTTATTGCCAGTTAGTTTTCCTCTCTCTGCATCTCTTTCCCCTGCCCCCATTTTTAAAGCACTGTCCAGCCATTGAACACTGAGGTCCAAGACCCCTGTGATGTACAGTGAACATCTGATGCTGTACAAAGGATGATTATTTATTTTACTTAACATTATCACTTCCCTGACACATCTCCTTCCATCTCTACCTAGCCTACACTTTGCCCCGCCCACGAACACAAAGGAAAGATAGCAACCTTTTCTACAGCTCTTCTTGAACTGTAACAATTCAGCAGCAAGGCAAGCAGGTTCGCTGTTCCCTGACCCAAGTTATAGCCCAGTTTATAGACTGGACAACTGATAACAGTCAGTGAAGACTAATCAACACAGCTTGGCCAAATGCACTATGCCATTCCACCAACTGCAGTCTAAAAGCCACCAAGGGACAGCATTACACTGTGGTAGCAACTATTTCAGCACAAGCAATTCCTGTATTTATTTTTCTTTAATCAGGACAGTTTAATGCCTATAACCCTGAGAGATTCAATGACAGTACCACACGCATCACTGACATTATAGACAGAATAAAGCCAGACATGTAACTACAGAAACATTCTGCAGTATGCTAGGAGACAGTCCATCCTTGAAAATGGGGGGGGGGGGGGGGAAGGGGAAGCAACAGTTTGCAAAACTTTTTCTCTTCAAAAATTAGGGGTTTGACAAAATTAATCTTACTGCTCTGAAAGCCACTACCAAGAGTTTTATTCTCTCCCTCTGCCTTCTTCAGCTATTTATTTCCACCCATTTCCTTTTGCTGTGTCAAACAGTCATGCAGTAAACCAGCTCAGCAAGTTCATTAAGACATAAAAATAACGTAACATAAGAAGGCAGAGCCCTGATCCAACTTGCCGTATCACTAAATGGAATGGAAAGGGAATAGCAGGGTATGAAGTGGGTAGGGAACTTTTTCTTTTGATGGCAGCCTGCATTTTATCAGATCAAGCCTATCACAAAACAGCACTCCAGCAACATAGTACTAGACCTAACACATCTGCGTTAGTGTAACAGCTCTTGCAGGTTAAGTAGGGCTAAAGCCTTTAACTCTGTAAGAATCCTACATTAAAACTGACTAATCTTTCTACAAATCAGAAAACTGAATTACCAACTTCACTGGGAAAATCTGTCCTTTTTACATATTTGGCTGTTAAGAGCAACACCACACCCCTTCAGAAACCCACAGATTTCCTCAGTACCAGCTTTCTGTGAGAGTCCGCAACAGCAATGCTTCCTCTACTGACTTTCTAATTTCAAGTAAGCTCTTTTCAGAAAGATCTTAGCAAACTGCAGGACAGACAAAATTCTTCCATGGACGAAATTCTACATTCAGAAAGCTTTGAAAGATTTTCCTTCCCTGTATTGTTCAAGGCTGATGGTCAAAACTGGGTTTGCACTTACTTGGCTTCAAATTAAAAACTTGTTTTATTAATTGTCTAGTTAAAATACTCAATTATATTATGTATTTAATTATTTCTAAAAACCCACCAGTATTTCAAATATCACTCTAAGTGCAAAAAATATTGAAATTCAGATGTATTTAGGGATCAGTAATCATAGTTTGGAAAACACCAACTAACTTTTCAGTAAATTTACCTAGAAAGGGCGGAGGAGCAAAGAACTTATGTATCAGTAACTAAATGTACCAGAAAGGGCGACAAGCACACTAACGCCAGTTAAACGTCAAAGGACACACTGCGCGTTTGGCTGCAGGGAATACTACAGTGGGAAGCAGTCGGATGCCGCGTTAGAAGAACATAGGTATCATGCGACTATGTTATAAAACCGCTTTTATGTGTCAACATACTGCTAACCCACGCAATCGCTGGGCAAACGCCGGAGTATTTCAACCCGTTTCTTAACAGGCTAGAGGGTTTCCTTTGCATCCTAGCCTACACCAGCTTCCCCTCGGCAGCCCAGTGCCCGAGCACGGAGGGCCGGGCCGTGCGCCCACGGGGCAGCCAGGGCGAGCCATGGGCAGCCTGTCCCCGGACGCCGGTTCTGGCTGAGGCTCACTCTCGAAACTTCTTCCGAGCCAGAGCAGGCGCGGGACACCACCCAGACCCGCGGTCGGGGCAGTTCCACAGCCCCTTCCAGGCGGAGCCGCTGGAGACAGGGCGGCGGAAGCGGCTGCCTCCCCTACCCGTGCAGCGCAAGGGTGGCTGGGCGGGAAATGAGAAGGGCAGGCGGACAGCCCCGCTCCCCACTCCCTGCTCTAATAGCTCAGACCCGACCCCCAGACCGTACACGTGTCAGCGGGCAGCGGGCTACTCCTCACCGACTGCGCGCGGCCCGTGAGCCCGAAGGCGGAAGGGCCGCCGGGGCCCTTCTTTACCTGGCTTGGCAGGTTTAGGTGGCGGCTTAGACATGGCTGGAGTCGGCCGGTGTGCAGACGAGGCAGTGGTAGTGGTCTGCCTTCAGCTGGAGTAACCCTCTCGGCTGCCGAACCAGCGCGCGGAGGGACGCAGGAAGGAAGGGCGAGGGGAGTGGCGGAACGAGGGAAGCTGGGGCTACAGGCAGCGCCCCCCCGTGGCGGCTGCGGAAGTTCCGCTGGCCCCAGGCGAGGACCCAGCCAATCACCGCGCACGCCGAGGCCCCGTCCCCCGAAGGGCAGGAGGAGGCTGCCAATGGGGCGGGGCAGGGGGGGGCTGCGTGAAGCGGAGGGGTTCGCTCTCGGGGGTCGGTTGGCGGCGGCGAGGACTCAGGAGAGCGGGCGAGTATCTGCATTGTGTGTGTGTGTGTGTGTGTGTGTGTGTGTGTGTGTGTGTGTGTGTGTGTGTGAGTCAGTGAGTGTGTCAGTGTGTGTGTGAGTCAGTGAGTGTGTCAGTGTGTCAGTGACCCGTGACTCGGCGGCGGTGGGTTGTGAGCTGCGCCGTGCGCGGCGTGTGACAGCGGCCTCGTGCCGCGGGTAGCTCCGTGATGGGGCATTGGAGGGAAAGCGCCTGGGCCGGGGCGGTTGCCTCGGTGCTGTCCCGGTGTCTGTGAGCAGCGGCTAAAGTACGTCTGCCACAGAGACGCTGAGGTGCTGGGAGCTGTGGGTACCCCCGCCTCGTGTCCCGGCGGTGGGGTTCGGTGTCCGGGATACTTCCACCCGGCTGTGGCGGGGCCTGGGAGGAAGCATACCTCGGCTGTCACCGCGTGCTGCAGCTCCATCGCGCTGTTGGAAAAACTTAGGGTGGAAGCGGTACCTTGTTGGGGTTAGCACGGGTTTATGTCCTGTTTAAAGATGCTAAACCGAGACCAGGTAGTTTAGGAGTTCAGTGTTACAACATTGGTGAGCAATCTGTCGTTGCAATTGGTGCTCCACGTTATTCTGGGGGAGAAAGAGCTCTGGTGGGCTTTTTCATGCTGGGTTTTGGGTTGTTTTTTTTTTTTTTGCCTGAAGCTGGCAAAAAGTCTGCTTTCGTACAGACAGTGACATAAATTAGAGTCCAAAGCTCAGCATGTGTGTCCAGATGTTGTTTAGTTTGTTACATAGCATTTATTTGTGGGACAAAGGCTAATCCTCTGGCACACAAACCTTACTGGCGATCTTTAGTTCTTTATTTTTCTATGGACTGAGTATCACTGCTTCCTTAGAAAAGATCATGCGTTTGCAGTCTCCAGATAGATAGCAAATACCACAAACATGCAATGCATTGTTGAACTTGACAATGACAGTGCTTTTAGAAAACCCTTGCTTGCTAACTTACAAACTTGCCAGTGCCAACTACTACAGGTACTCAGAGGAACATTATCACACTGGTGATGACTTGGGCTAGTCAGTACGTCTTTTTATTTTATTTTAACAAAAAAAAAAATCTTAAACATGAAAATACCACATCACAGACCTGAGAAACAGCTGAACTTTCAATTGTTGCACCAAATGCAAACTCTGTGTCTGAAGCTTACCCTCACAGAAATAGTGTGGTTTTACTTTCAAACTGATGCCTTAAATACAGATACTGGCTTGCTGGGGAGGGGAAATAGTAATTTTCAGTCTTAGGTGTCATAGGCTTTACCTCCTTAAGCATGACCTAGGAGGACAGACCAGGTGAAAACCGGGGTTTTTGCATGTGGTTAAATAGTTAATGGGTTTATGCTCGTGGAAAACAATGATTGACAGACTGGTTTGACAAACTCTGTAGACTAGTGCTGCTGCCAAGAGAAGCATCCCCGTTACTGCCTGTCTTTCTGCTGCACCATACCTTTACAGGCACAGTTAAATGGATGGTAAACTGGAATTTGCGCTGCTGAAAACTAACATTCTTCCCTTCCCTCCTCTTTTGCAGAACTGTTTTTCAGCTGGACTAGTTTTCCAGTGTAGTTCACTATGGACTGTTCAAACACCAACCGCAGAAGAAAGTTCTGAGAAGAGTCAGGGAAAGGCAGGGTTGTGTCTTCTGGCAGGTCTGACCACTGAAGGTGGTCAGCCAGCCACAGCCCCAGGGTTGGTTACTTGGCAGCAACAGGGGTATGGGTAAACAAATGTAACTGTTTCCAGGGTTTCAGTCTTTGCTCTTTTTTGAAGATGATCAAGTGCTATTTAGTCCGTCTCAGTGCTAAGTCAGTTAAAATGGCCAAAGTGCCTTTACAGTAGCTGTAATGACTCCAGATTATTCTGTGGTGGAGCAGAAGGGAAGCACTTGTATGACTGGCGCCGCTAAGTCTCACGACGCAATGGTGAATTCTCACGCTAAGACAAGGTTCATAAAAGACTCCTTGAGCATACTCTTTGTTATAACTCTCAATGAAATTTTTAAAACGTCTTGCTCAGCATGTCACTTCTTTCTTTTTTAAGATTTTTGCTTGTTTTGCCACCACAGCTTCTATTTACCCAATCTTTTTTATACCATTATTGCTTGATCTAGTGATTGCTTTTCTTGAGGGATCTTGTGGTATTCATGTTGACAGAACTGAGTCTCAGAGTTCCCCCCAAATGGTTAATATATTAAGGCAAATTTGTGATGCGGCGTGAATGTTGCAGGTTTTTTTTTGGTCAGCATTAGAACAAGCAGTTGTTCTGGCTTTAGCCTTGCAAAAAGAAAAAAAAAGTTTTATCTGTAATTGATGTTTCTTAATACAATAGCTGCTTTCATTGTTGCTGAATTAACAGTTTTCCCTGGCTACTATTTTTGATAGTGAAAAGCAAGAACTGAGGAGAAAAACCATGAAGGTATTGGTTATTGGCCTTGGAGGGTGAGTATTAGCAATTAAATTTCCTCTGCAACTAAAGACTGGTCTTCCTTTCAGAATGAAATGATGTAATTTCTATTTCTGAATGAATGGGGGTTGGAACTAGATGATCTTAAGGTACTTTCCAAACCTAATTATTCTATGATTCTGTGTTTTTTTAAAGTAGATTACAAATACAACATGTAATGGTCTCAGCTTATAACATGTAACCCTCAAAAAAGAAGTTAAATGTTGTCTCTGAGATCTCAGGTACCACCTTTCCCTAACCTCTTTCCTGGCACTGCTAGATTTACTGTTGAATCTTTTCAGAGCTAGCAAGTATTTAATGGGAATAAACATTTTTGGGGGGTAGGAGGTAAGGAGGAGGATTGCTTCTTTGTGTCTAACTCTACATAAATATGTGTATTAGCATGTACATATGTTTAAAATATTGATTTTTATCTTGATGCATTTTTCCTGTTTTCTAACTCAGTGTAACAAATGGGGGGAAAACAACACTGGCAGAAAAGCTTAAGAAAATGCTTCCCAATTGTGATGTAATCTGTCAAGATGACTTCTTTAAGGTAACTGTATTGATGGAAAGACCTGATAGGTAAAAGTAGGCTTGCGTAGGCTTTAGTGTAACTTCTGTTTTCAGTTCTCCTAGTGATAAACTTTTAAAATTGATGCTGCTTAAAATAATGTTAACTTCATGAGAAATAAAATGAGCACTGGGGTAACTGAACTTACAGTAGCAAGAACCACTGAATATACTCAGCAAAAAGAAGTCCGTTGTCGTCTTTGATCTTTTTCAAGATACTTTGTGCTAATGAAGTTAACGAAATTTTGTTAACTCTACACCAGTATAGCAATCAGTAGTTCTTTGTCTCTAAAATCAAAACAGAAGGACAACTTTTGCATTGACGTTGGAGTTGTTTGTTAAGGATAGTGAAGGAACTCTTACTTCTGAAGTAAAGCTCTAATGAACTTCTCAGGTATGATTGGGAGAATTTGTTGTTCCAGATTAAACAATATTTTTGTGTTTGTATTCTATTTTAACAGTTTTATACAACATTTTAATTTTGAAGATAAATTTAATCACTTGGATACAGAAGTGTATAACCCCCATGTTTGTAACTGAAGAGTATGTATCTGTGACAGTGGTCATAAAAGCAGCCTTGAAAATACTCCTTTTTTTTGCTTCTTCAGCCAGAGTCTGAAGTAGAAACAGATGAACGTGGATTTAAGCTATATGATGGTCAGTAACTTTGATGCATTGCTTTAAATGTTGTACTGAAATTCTCTTATGCTGAGCTTCAGCACTTCTTACTGTCCACTGAGTGTCTTTCATTGTCTTACTCCAAATCAGTCAAAACTTGGATCTGATTCTGACACCACTATTTCGTGTCAGATCACACATAGAGACCAGATGAAGTTCATGGTTAATGCTGGCTCAATGTGCCAATTTAATTTTATAAACTTCTAGATTCAGATTCACTTTAGGCTAATGCTTTGGTTCAGGTCGTATCTAGTTGTGAAAATTTGCTTATTGGCTAATCTCTGCTGATACTTGGTGGTCACAAAATGTATTACTCAGAATATTGGCCAGACCCTTAAATTGTATCTGTAAACTGACTCTTTCTCAGCTATGCAGTCTTTAGCTCAGTTTCTAGACTTCCTGAAATTGGAATGTGAAACTGGAGAGTTAAGTTGGACATTCAGTTTCAACTATGTAGCTTTAATGCTGCTCTTAAAACATCCTCTAAAATGTGTTTGCTCTTCTGTTACCCAAAAGCTGCCTTCTCTATACCTTTCAGTACTTACTCAGTATGTTCTTACATGTCTACAGAAGAAAACAGGTGCTACATTGTGCTGTTTTGCATTCTTCCAATTCATCCATCCATCCCCACCTTCCAAATACTTGCACCCAATAAAAACTCAAAGCAAAAAGTTTTGAGCTCCTGCTCCCTTCACCTGTGTCAGTGACAATTGCCAGAAGGGTACAGGTCTCAGGGTAAGTTTTTTAAGAAGTTTTGTGGAATATGGGAACAGTCCCTTCTGTTTCTGTTGTCAGGGGAAAGGCTGTGAAATGTGTTCACACACCTTCTGGTGCTACAAAACTCAGAGAGACCACCAAAAATACCCCAGTCCTGGGGACAGCTTTAGTTTCAGGGTATCATCAGTTGCAAACATGGAACTACTCATATGTGTGAGAGATATCTGGGGTTAATCCTGTTCCCTTTCATTTAGATTTGTATGTACATTATTTGATTTTTACCAATTAACCTAGGTTTTGAGGGCTTTTTAATTCTCGTTTTTTTAGGGATGCCTAACTTTCTGTTTCCATCTAGTACTTGATGCCCTTTATATGGATGAAATGGTGAAAAGTATTCGCAATTGGATGAAAAGCCCAGCAAGCTCAGGTGTTGTGACAGAAGAGCCACAAAATACATGTGACAATCTGAAAAATACAGATGTTGTTTATATTTTGATTGTTGAAGGCTTTCTGCTATACAATTATGAGTAAGCAGTAATACATAACCTGGTATATTAAAGCCACATTAAAAAGGAAGAGGGAACTAAACATGTTATTATCTTAGGCCACTTAATGAACTGTGGAATAGAAGATATTTTTTGACCCTTCCTTATGAAGAGTGCAAAAGGAGAAGGAGGTAAGGTTGCTGCTCATGGAGGGTCACTGCGCCCCCTAACCTGGACTGCTTCTTTTATACTGGTTTTATTTTGGTTCTTGCAAAATGTAAGCTATTAAGTTCATCTGTCCTTTTTGATTCACAGGGAAGACTGTGTGGGTATTTAACCAACATTAACAAAAGCATGCTGAAATGGGGGAGGGGTTGTTTTGGTTTATGGCTTGGTTTGGGGCTTTTTATTATCATTATGATTCATTTATTTATATTAGAGCACAGAGATATTAAAATGTTTTAGAAACACTATAAAAACAAATTGTCCAAATAAATGATCTTAAATTATTTAGATTACTGGCTGCATATTGGAGTGAAACCATGTTTAAAATGAGAAACAGTTTAAAAAATACTAAGCAGTCTTATCTTTGGTTGACTACACCACATGAAGATTATTGCTAAAGTAGCAATATTCATGTGCGGGTTTAGTGTATACTTTGTTTAGACTGTGCACTAGTTGCACCTTGTTCTCTTACTTAGATTATTGAGCCAATGTCTGAATTGCCTACAAATCTGGTGCAATACTGTGTGCTTGGAGCAATAGATGTGCACAGTCAGAATCTGCTGGCTGAGTGAAGAAATCTGCTGCAGAGGATTTGGTTGATTCCACTTTGTTGGTTTCTCATTAGACTCACCTTTAAGCACTTTAGTGTCCAGGCTGGATGATGGATGTGACTAGGCAAAACCCCTAGTTATTTAAAACTTGGAAATCTGTATACTGAATATTAAACAAACAAACAAACAAAACCCCCAAAAAGTAATTTGGTTTGGTAACCATGCACTTGGCATTAACTATGCCAAGTGCAAGGTCCTACACCTGGGTCGGAGCAATCCCAGGCACAGCTACAGGTTGGGCAAAGAAGAGATTCAGAGCCACCCTGCAGAGAAGGACTTGGGGGTGTTGGTCTATGAGAAGAACACGAGCCAGCTTCAGTGTGCACTCACAGCCCAGAAAGCCAACCGTATCCTGGGCTGCCTCAAAAGGAGCATGACCAGCAGGTCAAAGGAGGTGATCCTGCCCCTCTGCTCAGCTCTCGTGAGACCTCACTTGGCGTATTGTGTGCAGTTCTGGTGTCCTCAACATAAAAAGGACATGGAACTGTTGGAACAAGTCCAGAGGAGGGCCACGAGGATGATCAGGGGATGGAGCACCTCCTGTATGAAGACAGACTGAGAAAGTTGGGGCTGCTCAGCCTGGAGAAGAGAAGGCTGTGTGGAGACCTCATAGCAGCCTTCCAGTATCTGAAGGGGGCCTATAGGGATGCTGGGCAGGGACTCTTCATTAGGGATTGTAGTGATAGGAGAAGGGGTAATGGGTTAAAACCTAAACAGGGGAAGTTTTGATTGGATATAAGGAAGAAGTTCTTTACTGTAAGGGTGGTGAGGCACTGGAATGGGTTGCTCAGGGAAGCTGCGAATGCTCCATCCCTGGCGGTGTTCAAGGCCAGGTTGGACAGAGCCTTGGGTGACATGGTTTAGCATGAGGTGTCCCTGCCCATGGCAGGGGAGTTGGAACTAGATGATCTTAAGGTCCTTTCCAACCCTAATGATTGTATGATTCTATGTAACACTTTCAGTACAGCTTAAGTTACTTTTTCAATTAAACAAAACCCCAGACCCACAACTTTTACCTTATCTTAAATGTAACTTGATTGGCCGAAATAGGTAAATTAGCAAGAGTCTATATCACAGATTATATTAAAACAAAGGAGCCTCCTTTGCTCCGATATTCATACTGCCTGCCAGTCTTTTTTTTTTATTTTTATTTTGGATAGATGCTGTTATTAAATCAGCTGACACTAGGGGGAAATGTAAAACTTGTATGGAAAAGCAAATATATTTTTGTGTAGCACCAGAGTCTATCAGCCAGCAGATACACCGGGTTACTTCGATGGACACGTGTGGCCTATGTATCTGAAATATAAAAGTGAATTGGAAGAGAATGCAAGTAACATTGGTATGGTATCCCTAATTTTAAACTTAGAAAATGCTAAGTGTGGCGCTTACACAATTACACAGTTATCGTTGGGCTGTGGGGTTGTTTTTTTTTGAATGGGAGAAAGCGGTCTTTGTGGCACTTGCACAGTAGGTTTGGGTCTTTTGCTGGTTTATTTTTTTAGTATATGGGAGTTGGATTTTTTTAATAATGAAAGTGATGAAGTTAAAAAAATACAAAGCTTCTGGTTACTAAATCCATTTAACAAGCTATTGTTTTAAATGGCACATTTGTATGGTGTATGTAATAAGCTAGCACATATGTGTGGCTAAATAGGAAGCTTCTGAGATGACAGCAGATGCACTGTCAGGGTTCTTCAGATCATAACTGAAATCCTGGTTAAGTCACGTAAGACACTTCCTAGTGTCTTATGTATGACTGTGCACTGCAGTCACCAGTCTTGCATGTGAAGTTTCAAAGCTGGGCCAGCTGATGAGGCACCGCCAAGAGCTTGTGTAATGTTCACAGCTATACAGCTCTTGGACTACCCACTGGGAGAATTCAAGTGGCTGCTTCATCAGCACACACATCTTAACTGTACAGTGAGAACGGGAACTGTGATGCCTTTCCTTGACTTGCTGAAACCCTAAAGCTGAGGAATAACCTGAGGTCTTTGACTGCATAGGAACCCTTACTCTACTGTCCTAATGTTATTACCATTTTTTAACTTCTAAAACAAGTTTGTGAATGAAGGAAAGGGAGGTACTGTTCTTGGGGTTTATTTTGTCATCTCTTCTGATGGCATACACAGGAATACCAAAACCTCTGACAATTGCTATTAAAAAATAACTGGCACAGAACTCATGAAAACTTTCTTTCCTCTTTCTTAGTTTATTTGGATGGCACAAAATCCCAAGAAGAGCTTTTATCCAGTTTGTATAATGATATAATACAGGAATTAAAAAAGCTGAGGGAAGAAAGTAAGTAATGTTACTGGAAATTGAATGTGCTTATTCCATTCCAAGTTAACAAGAAGCTAATCCTTTTATATGAAAATACTGCAAGGATTATGTAGATCTATATCCCCTTATGTATCACACACAGTGCTTATACATGTTTGCCCATTACTTTAAGTCATCATAAGCTATAACTTTTTAAGTTCCCTGAAAGCAGATGTTCTGAAATAATAGGTGGATCCAGTGCTATCTAATGACAAAATATTAAAAAAAGGGGGTGAAGTGAAGGAATATGGGGCAAAGCATTAGTGAAAACAGGTGTGTTGTTGGTATTAGTTTCTAATATACAGTGATGTCACGTGCAAACTGAGAAATGACGCTACAGGTTAAATTATGGTTTTTATCTTTTAGATCAGCAGGTCACAGTATGATAACAGAAAGCTTGGGTTCCGTCTGATGCGAATTGAAAGCCCCAAGACTGTCATACTTGGCAAGCCAACCAACTGAGCAGATACTAATGTTATGTGTATAATACTCATTTGGAGAATACAGTGGATTTGTAGTGATTACTGAGTCTGTAAGCCTCAGGTATTGTTGAGTAATATCAACACTGCATTATTATTCAGAATTTCTTTAATCAGTCATGCTTTGGCTGACCTTTGTGTACATTTTAAAGAATATAAACATATTTTTGTATACAAAACTAAACTAGAAAGATGGAGTTCTTTTGGATTAATAAGCCTATTTGAGCATGGATCGATACAATTTTAAATGTTCATATACAAAGGACAGTGATTAATTTTATGAGCTTCTAATCACCGATAAGCATGGTTAGATGAACTGGTTGTATGTTGTGGCAACAATAAGTTGAAGATGGTATGAAGTGTTACGCTGCTTATTCAGTAACAGAAGCTGTTACTGAATATATAACTGAACTTACTTGCTAAACACCTCTGGTGTTTCTCAAGTAATTTATATGTTGTTTGTTGCTTTGAGCAGTTAGGAGTGGATATTTAAAAAAATCCAAACAAACCTGAAGAGAAGTCAGGTTGTTGGGAAAAGATGGGGTGAGCAATATGGAGGACAGAATACAGATGCATCGCTAATGACATTAAGTACATATATTGTGTGAAAATCAAGGACTGGGGCGGCCAGGCTACTACAATAAATGTGTGTATCAGGGAGGAGGAAGATGGAAGAAATAATTCTGGTTAATAGACATAGCTCAGATTGAGATTACAATAACAAATGTATTCAGAAAGCAGCTATGTGAAATGTATATTGAAGCTTTTTTGTAGAATTTGTATATTTAGATAAAATAGAAAACTGGAAAGTTTAATCATTTATGGTGGCTGAGTAATTTATGAATTCTTACATTTTCTTTGAAAACTTGCCAGCTAGAATAGAAATCAAGCTACAGACATGAAAAGCAAAGGGTGGGCTATATGTATATATATGGGCTATATACTGTGTGTCAGCTGAACTGATCAGTGATTGAAATGCAATGCTTTATTGTCAACATTATTAAGGGTCCTAAACCTGTATATATCAAGAGTTTGTTAAAAGAGTAGAGCTGTGTGAGGCTTGTGCTTCAGACAAAGTGCTTCCAAGAACTATTTTGTATTATAATTTTGCAGTAAAAATACTTCAAGATGGATTTGATGGGCTGTCTGACTTTAAACTGTATTTTTGGTTCTCTTTCCCTTTGGAAGGGGGCAACTGTGAGAGATTAGCTAATACTTGGATGGTTATAGGGGGTGAACTTGGGTAGCTACCAGGTGCCTCCAAAGCTGCTTTACCACCTGCAGTGCATCAGCAAGTTCACTAATGAGCAAAACAGGACATTACATAAGTGTGACATGTTAATCAGTGCAGATTGTACTACCACCCCTACAGTGCTTTCCCTTGAGTTTCACCCTCTGGAAGGGCTTCAGTGTGCTAGGTCCCCATTTGATTAGTGTTTGTGTTCCCGAGCTCCTATGCTCCTTAAAGCTATGCTTTCCTTAAAGCCGGAGGTTTCATCCCTGATTGTTGTGCCTTGTCCCTGTGGGATCCACACCTGCTTTTTGGTTATAACACCATGGTCTTCATCATGGGCTGCAGGGGAATCCCTGCTCTGGTGGATGGAGTATCTGCCCCTGCTCCTTCTTCGCCGACCTTGACATCTACAGGGCTGTTTCTCTCACATATTTCCACTCCTTCCTCAGTTGCTCCTGTGCAGTAACTTTTCCTCTTTCTTAAGTGTGTTATCCCAGAGGTGCTACCATGGCCACCAATGGGCTTAGCTTTGGCCAGAGGTGGGTCCACCATGGAGCCCGCTGGCACTGGTCCTATCAGGCAAAAGGGAAGCTTTTGGCATCTTAGAGAAGCCACCACCCCTGCAGCCCCCCTGCAACCAAAACCTTGCCCCGCAAAGCCTATACAATGGGTGAAGGGAAGAAATCTTTTATTCTTGCTTTTCTGTTATTCTGTTGTCCCAAAATCAGGGTCCTTCATACAGTTTACAGAGAGGAGATTATCATACAGAGTGGAGATGTTTATTTCATCTCTGTGCAGATATGGGTGCTAGGTGGTAACTCCACAAAGCTGGCACACCCTCAGTCTGCCAGCTGTCCACTTTTACATGTTTCAAACAGTGAAAATTAGTATTGTCCATATACGTAAGAGTGTAACTACAATCATTGGCTTTCACATTCTCTCCTCTGTTTAAAGGCACAGTATATATTTATGTCACCACATATGTTCCCTGAGGAAGGGTCTCTGTCAGCAAGGGTCTCTTATCTCAGGGGGTGTGATTTTTAATGAAACAAGTTTAGGAACACAGTTACCTTCTGTTTGGCTAGGCTTTTCAAAATTAGTTCTGTCTTCCTAATCTTTCTGGTTACTCTTTTTCTGATGCAGATGGTTCATTTGTCAGTATTCTGCCTCTCCTCAAAGTCTATGAGCTTGTAAGGCAACACTATTTCTCCTTGACATGTTTCTGTTCAGTTCTAAACTGAAGATTTTCAAGCCTGCACAGGCTGTCCTTTACAAAATCTTAACTTCTTCATTGCCAGGTAGCACTTCCACGGACAAAAGGAATAGATGTGCTCCAGTACAGATTTATGTATTTGTGGTATAGAAGGATTGAAATGCAAGTACAGGTTTAGATTGATATCAAGGTGATTTCTTCATGATGTCAAAATAAGGGAAAGAACATGGCAATGTAGTCACCATGAACACTGATGCAGAACTTTTTACCTTGAAGAGCTGTTGCTCCTCTAACCTTCAAAGTCTAAAAGCTGTATTTCTAACATTTACACTGTGTATCATTGATTCAGATGCTGGTTTTGTCACACACACACACACACACACACACACACACACACACACGGGTTTTTGAAAAATGGGGTTGATTGAATAATGGGGTTGTGAATGAGTGACTTCAAGGACCTGAGGTTTTGTTAGCAACTATAGAGATGATGGCTAAGGTAAGCACTGTGCAAGAACTGGCCAGAACCGGCGTGGTGGTTACTGATACGACAGTGATTCTAAAACGAAGTGATGAAGGTGTGGTACAATGTTTTATGATGTAATGTATAAGTAACTCAGTGAATATGTATGTAATCTGATGAATATGTATAAGGACAATATAATCACAGCCCGGTTGATGTTTGGGACAGACACGCTAGGAGGAGCTATTCCCCCTGTCTCCGGGCACAGCAATAAATACTTGCTTGTCACCTTAAACTTTGGTGGCCAGTTCCTGGAGATTTCTCAGATCAGTTTCCTACGTTCTGAAACTACTTCATGTGCCTTTCGGAACAATGCCTCTTTTGTCTATCCAGCTGAGGATAATGTCTGATGGTTTATCTATGGCACTTGCCACTGAGCATCTCTGTAGTCAGAACCATCCAGTCAGGTAACACAGTGTCGAGAGAGCAAGAACAGTGTGAGAGTAAGGAAAACTGGAAAACTTTGAGAGTATTTCCGTTAGAAGACTGGTACTCCTTTTTCCAGAGAGAGGCGATCAGTGTGCCAAACCCCCTTTTCTTATGTTCCCCTCTTACATTACTTGGTTTACTAAAAACTACTGAAACTGATGTGGCCTATTGTGTACAAGGGGGTTAGATAAAATGTACAGGGGGGTTGCACAAGGGGGTTAGATAAAAGGTACAGGGGGGTTGTACAAGGGGGTACTGCTTAAGTTATAGCTTGTTTGACAAGCTCAGCAAAAGCCTTATCAGTCAGTACCAGCACAGACCCTCCTAATGAAGAGAATAGCTCATTAAATCAGTTGGACATAGACCAGACCCATCCGGCTCCTAAAGAGCATGCGTGAGGATCAGAGGTAAAAAGTTCAAGCCTGAGGAAGACTCGTTTACTTCATCTTGAAGACCCCTACTCGCAAGAGGAAGCCTATTTACTCCATCTGAAAACCCCTGCCCAAGACCACCAAGAAGTACTGCGCATGCGTGGAGAGCCTTTTAGCTCGTAATACGAAGCAGGGATAGAATATAAATATATATAGGCTTACTGTGCAACTTAATACATATGTATGACTTTATAGGATAAATGTAGAAGGAAAACGGCACTGAGGTGCACATGCCTTTTGGGGGATCAATCCCCCATGTGCCTTCAGCTGAATAAAGCATACCTACTTTACAACTTTAACAAGTTGTGAAGTTTATTCCGCTATCAAATACTACCACTCCCTGCATGTCTTCTGACAGAATTTAGTAGGACAGTGTTCTCTGGGCTCTCAAACCTAGGAGGGAGGATGACTGGTCAACCCTCTGCATCTAGGAGACCTCTTCTGAAAGCAAGCTGGAGGTGCATGGCCACTTGCCACAGCACATATGAAAGGTGTCAACACCCGGTGAGGTAAGTTGTGTCAGGTGGAGGAGGATGTGCTCGATTGTCTTCGGGGTCAAAGTGCGTTACTGTGAGGAAATCTACCACCTTGCGCCTCAGGCGTTGCTAGGCCCTGCTTAACGTCCCTCCTCGCCCTCCTCTCCCTGCACTCTCCCCGAGGGCTGCAGCGCACCCTGAAGCAGCCCAGCAGGCGCAGCCGCGCTCAGCTGCAGCTGAACTCGTATTTCATGTTTCGGATGACAGCCCCGTAGGAGCCGGGCAGCATGCACCCTCCGCCGAGACACCCCAAAGCTGTTCCTGGCTCACAGTCGCCATATGGACGCGCCACCATGCCCTTTCACACAGGCTGAGGTTATTCCAGAGCGAGGCGCCCTTCCCTTTCTGCGATCGCTGACGCATGCGCATGGCGTCCTTTAACAGAGCGCCAGGCTCAGCCTGGGAGGTCCTGTCGTTAGGCGGGTCACCCGGCCCTGGCGAGCTCCCTCAGCAGGCCTCCTCCGCCCCGCCCGCTGTTGTTTTCTCGCGATGTTGCCTACAGGAAGTGAGCGAGGGAGTGTGCGCCGGCCGCGGCCGTTGGCGGCGGTCGCTGAGGGGATGTCGGCCGCGTGCGCGGTGTCCCCTGAAGCACAGTCGCCGCTGCCGCCGGGCGAGCGCGATCCTCCGGCCAAGGCGATGCGCAGGAGGCTGAGGCAGGGACACCGGGAGGAGTGGGAGCAGTTGTCCTGGGTGGGGGAGGGTGCGGGTGGTGTCGACACCGAGGTGCAGCCGGCAGCATCCCCGGGCGACGGGGACGGGCGTAGGCGGCGGCAGGCGCAGGAGCCGAGAGCGCTGGCGGGGGCAGCTGCGGCGGCTAGGGGAGAGGAAGAGGTGGAGGAGGAGCGGCTGGAGCGGGAGCATTTCCGGAGGATCATCAACGCTTTCCGATACTACGGGTAACCGATACCTACCGCCCTGTGCACAGGGCCCTGGCGCCGCGGCTTTTTTTCACCTGCTGCTGCGCGGGGTCAGAGCCTCGCTGTCCGTGCGGGCGGCGTCTGGCTCCCGGGGAGTCCTCCCTCCGTCCGTGTTCTTTGTGGCCGTGAGCGCTGTGCCGGTAGAGCGGGTTCCACTCCCCTTTCCTTTAGGGATGCCCGCAAAGTCGCCTCGATGTCTTTGTCAGCTAGTAAACATACAAAAAAAAAAAAAAAAATCCAGCAGACCTTGTCGAAGTACAGCGCACCTGGAAAGGTGCGAGAGGTTTCTAGAGGAAGGTCTCTAAGGTGCTTTAAGACGCTGTAAAGTACTCCAAACAGTAGCAAAGAGATGCAAACCGTGTCTCGGTTATTGTGGAAATTTCTGAAGGACGTGTTAGTTTGCACAAGAGATCGGACTAAGGCCATTTGTTGAGTCGGAAAAGACCTTGATGGTCCTGTGGGAGTGAGGTAAAGGGGGGTGGGAAGAACCATACTTAGTATTCGAATCTGTTGAATCGAAGAGGAAACAGAATTTACTGAAGGGGTGGACACTGGCTGCAGAAGTCAAATCCTCTGCAGTTTTTTGGTAAACTGTATAATGTTATTCTAGGTTTGGGAAGCATATTCGGGATGCAGGTACACTGCACATTGTATACTTCAGTTGACAAACCCCAGTCATGTGAATCATTATTATGTGTTGGATAGGCTTGTGAGTGTAACACGGGCATAGTTTGTACATGACAGTGAGGTTCTTGGAAGGAGTGGGTGATTTTTAAGAGTATTTCTTGTGGTTGCACCTTTTACTTTTTTGTTAGTTTTTGTTTTCCAAAATTAGTATTTGGTCACTAGGTTGGT